CAATTACCAGTGTCAACCTGGGCCTGAGCACAGGAAGTATGTGCTGTTCACTAACGGAGGATGGAAGAATCAACAAATGAATCAAAGTCGATCAACGGATGAACACATGGACCGGCTTTCCCTGCCATCCCTCTTCACCTGCAATCTCACCCCGCTGCAGATCCCCTGCGACACGGCAGACAGATGTAAGGGAGAGAGGAGAGAAAGGAGCGAGCAGAGTTGGAGGCGGTCAGAGAAGCTAGTCTGCTCCTGGGTTTGGTCAGAATCAGACTGACCTGCCTCCTGCTGAGCAGGAGGGACTCAGATAGGTTGTTCCCTCTGCAGCTCCCGGGCCACGCCTCAGGCTCCTGTTGCCCTCGCGCTGGAAGGATGCAAGCCCAGATCCTCCTCCTAGCAGAAGCTCACATCTCACTGAGCCTTGAGGAGACACTTACCTCGAGAAAGGGGGGCCAGATGGAAAGTTTGATGGAAACCTGGGTCAGCCCAGACTTCCACCCGCCTCACTAGTGCAGAGTCATGCGGGGAAGAAGGGGACCAGACTGTTTCCATGCACTGGGAAGAAGAACCCAGATCGCACACAGGAGCTCAGGGGAACGTCCAGGAATGGAGGGCAGAGGGGAGTCCAAACGCCTCTCTCCCTTTCTCACCCTCCTTTCTCTTCCCCACCTGCCCCCAGGAGCATTATTCCTGAGAAGACAAATGTGCATAGGTTCCCAGGGACCCCAGGGACGCAGTCAAGAGTAAACTAGAGAAACTTTCTGCAGTTCCCTCCTGAGGGAAATCAACTTCTGGAGGCTGAAAAGTTTGGTCTAGTGGGACAACTTGAAATCTCCCCAGTCAGGAGACTCCCAGCTCTAGGCTGCCTTCCTCCAAGCCCCGGTCATCACCAAAGGTCCTTGCTGTGGAGAGCCAGAGCCTGCTCTGCTCTGGGTCTCTCTCTGATTCCTTCATCCCTGCACTTCTCAGACTGCCTCCATGCGGGCAGAATATCCTCGGCCAGGGTGGGGTCCCTGATGCTGGGGACACTGACGGGCAGAGGGTACCAGGAAACATCCCTAAATTCTACTTGCGAACTTTTATTTAGTGTGCTGCCTCTGTGCTCATGAGAGATAATAGCTGGTAAGTGTTTCTTTCAGGTTTTGTTACCAAGGTCATTTTCTTGATAATAAATATATTGGAATATAGGCCCCCTTTTTGGTTTTATGAGGAAAAAATGGACTATTTTCTTCTCAACTGTTTTGAATTGTTGAACAGTGAGAACATGTAAGCTAGGAGTTCTCTTAATAGAAAGAAGACTAATTCCACTTTTTACTAATTGTTGTTTAAGTTAATTCAATGTTTTTATGCATATAGAATGATTCTGCATGTCTGCTTCAGTTCACACACCTGTCTTTTTTATTATTAAACTTTTTTATTTGGGGGAGGGTTTCAAACCATCAACTCTGCATTCAACAGTTCAAACTACTCATCAACCCCCTCAAAGTCTGTGTGGTAGTTACACAATTTGTTGTCAGTTTGAGACTTACCAGTGAAGAGGTCGATTTACCTATCAATCAGGTTGCATCGTGATGACCTCATATGGAGGTGTTAAGGAGATGAATAGCTTGCTGGAGGCAGAACACTCACTTACTCTCTGCGAGATGTTTCTGACAAGATGCCACATGAAGTTACCCTGATGCAGCCAGAGTCCTGGGAGCTGGAGGAGCCATGTGGCGACCCCTGCCATCACTGAGATGCTTACAATGCCACTGGATCCACCAGACTTTCCGCCCACTGTCCTGTGATCTTCCTGCATTCGGGATCATTGCATGTGTTTCATGAGTCTGAAGAGGGCTTTATAGCTTGGTATCAGACATATCGGCTAATATGGGACCGTTGAACTTGATCTGGACTGGGCTGGCATGTTCTCTCAATATTTCATTACTCTTGTATATAAAGTTCTTTCTTATACACATATGACTCTCTCTGGATTTGTTTCTCTAGTCTACCCAGACTAACACTGTCTGTTTATTTTGGTATGGAAACCTTTGTCTTGAATTTTTCTGTTGTAACAGTGTTTCCTACAATATTTGTCCTTGTGTAATTGACCCACTTCTCTCAGTGTGTTAGACTGAGTTGACTAGAGAAACAAATTCATTGACATTCATATAAGTGTAAGAGAGGACTTTATATCAAGACATAATTATGCATTAACAATTACGCATCAATAAAATATCCAGCCCGGTCCAGATCAAGCATCATTGCATGGCTGTGTGAGTCAGATCAGCATCCCTCTGTAAAATCCTAGAAC